CCTGGGGATCCAGGAGTATAGCGGACAGTGTCCCCAGAGCCCACATCCCAGGACAGTGCACAGACAGTGAACAAATAACCAATAAATGGGTAGAGGTCTGCTGGTACTAAGTGTTAAAGAGAAAAATAAAGTAGGACAGGAGGAAAGAGTGTAACAGGGTCACAGGGAACATAATGGGCCATTTGAAAAGAGACCGAGAGAAGTGAGGGGGGCATCTGTGGCTGCCTGATTGACGGGCGAAGGCCCTGGGCAGGCACACGTGCATCCTCAGGTGTAGCAGAAGGTCCGTGCAGCTGGTGCACAGTGAGCCCGGAGCAGGTGGTCGGGAATGAAGTCGGAAAGTTACCAGGACAATTCAGTTAGCTGTGGGGACACTGTACGGCCCCCGGAGCGGTACCCGCCTTGAGGATGTGGGTCCTGCCCTTGTAGGCAACCTCCCGGTGCCACACACTTGCCGGAACGAGGCTGAGGAAGATGCCAAGTTGAACTGTATACTGGCTCAGGCCAGACACTTTCCTGTATTAGGAAATTCACACGAGACAAACTGTCCCCACTTTGTTCTGGTTCAAGGCAGGAAGTGGGTTCAAATGTGCTGTCAGCATATATTTTGTCGTTGTTGGTTGGCTTTCATTCATTTCAGGAGAGAGAGTAAGAATATAATGAAACCTATCACTGAGAAAGGGGTGGCTAGACCTAGAGCTGATTCTGAAGAGAATTTCAACCTATTCTTTGAGTCTTAATGAGAAGACATATTCTTCATTGATCCAACAATTGTTATTTAAAGATAACCATAGGGCAGAGCTGGGATGATGCAAACACGAATCAAGCACAAATTCTTTTTCAAGCAACTTATGGGGGAGTAGAAAAGTTAAGACATACAGCTAATCCTATATAATAAAAGGCTAATATGCAAATTGTCCCCTCAACTGGGAGTTTGACTGGGAGTTCAACCAGGGGCAGGGCTGGCCGTCCAACCACCTGTGGTCCCTCCCTCTGGCCGGCCATGCCCCCAATCGCCCCCCTCCACCCTGATCAGGGGCAGGGCTGGCCCACCCACCACCCGCAGCCCCTCCCCCTGTCCGGCCGCCCTGATCAGCCTTGATCGGGGCAGGCCAGCCAAACCCCACCCATGCATGAATTCGTGCACCAGGCCTCTGGTTAATAATATAAGGCACAAAGTATCAACTGAAAAGAATGAACAAAAATATAATGAATAAGAATCGATGACTACTTAAAAGGCAGGACAGCATATAGCTTTCATCTCACATGCCAACTCTATCACTAGTGGGTGCCTAGGGCAGTGTTGAGAAGGATTCTGAAGTCCCCCATGAACTCCGTGAGAAAGTGCCATGCTATAAGACTGTGTCTGCCACGAACAGAGATGTCATGTGGCAGGTGTACCTAGAATCTTCGCCATCCATGCTTAAGTGGAGACCAAATAAGTGGAAGTGTAGTTTTAAAAGTGCATCACGCCCTTGCTTTTCACAGCAATATTATATATATATATGATATATAAATATAATAAATATGTTACACTATTAAAGTGAAAATGGAGGAGGAGTAAAAAACTTAGTTTCATAACGTTGAGTGTGCATTTATTTACCACCTCAACTCTAGGAGTACTTAAGAAAAAAAAAGAGAAAGAATAAGGAATTCTCTGTTATTAAATGAATAACTACAAAAGGCTCAGACGAGGCGGTGCAACTTAAAATCAGGGGGAAGCTGGCTGTGAAGCGGGGTGGACTCTGGGCTGCTCCCCCCAGAGTTCCACAGAAAACCCTCTGGCAGGAGAGCAGGGAAATCTCTCCCTAGAACTGGATTTGCCAGCCAAACCTTCCTTTCCAGGGACCGGGCAGACATGCAACCTGTCCTTCTGTCACTGCCCCGTCCTTCACAAGGCTGTTCAGCAACAGGTTTGGGCAGACTTCCGGTCTCCTTTCTCTGGGGCCCTCTCCGCAGCCCGTTTTTAGCATGGCGCCAGCAACCCAGAAATGAGATTGAGTTCCATTCCGACACAACCAAGCTCCAGAATGGTCGTCCACTTGCTAGTCAGACTGGGATTGAGCCCAAGGTCTCAGGACCCAGAGAGAGATGAAATTGCTTTATTAATATCACAAAGTGGGGGTGGAGGGGAGAGAGTGTTCTGGATTTGCTGTGCCAGCAATACTTCAACACACAAACAATCAGAAGGTGGTCAGGTGGGTCCCCCAGAGGCGCCCTAGGAAGGTGCCCCACTGGGAGGAGGTGGGGCCCTGTGCTGAGTCAAGGGGAATGGCTATGTCCTCCCGCCCAGACTGACAGCCCTCCAGGAAAGAAGGCGACAAAACAGAGCCACAACCAAGGGATCAAAAGCTTAGATCACAAAAGTAAAAAAAAAAAAAAAAAAAGTCCTTTTTTGAAAGGCAGACAGAAAACGTGCCTTCACAGCGCCAGCCTCGTGTGGCCTTTAGCGAACTCTGCCCAGCAGCCCGGGCTGCCCAGCCCACAGCCTGGCTGTGAAGTGCTTGGTGTGTCCCTCAATCCAGTGGCTCAGAGACCTGGCTTCATGGTGTTGTTATTTTTATTTTCATTTCAGGAGAAAGAGCTGCGAGGGAGAGGAGAGCCAAGCAGAAATACAACATGTTTCTAAAGTTCATGTGCAGACATGGCCAGGCAAGACAAGCATTCTGATGATTCGTTCAACATTCCTAGCTAAGCATCTACCATGTCCCGGGCCCATGTTTCTGAGCCTCGTGCAATGCAAGTGGTCCATGGAGACCTCAGTGGTGCCCACAGAGGTGCTAGTGGGCAGACCAATAGGAAGCTTTCACGAGTCCTCATGGGACACCACGATATACCCAGAAATAATTAAATGGGTGTAGTGGATTAGCAGGTAGGAACAGGAGGCAATGGCATTTGTGCAATCAGGAGTAACATGTTCCCCATTAATAGCCACACTTTGGTGAGACCTGGGGAAATGACTTAGAGCATCATTGAAGTCATTTGTCTGATGATGACGATGATCACTGGGCAAATAGTATTAATATTGAGTGCTATGCATTTACATACATGACAGCATTTAATTCTTACGACAATCCTAGGAGGTATGTAGTATTATCCCTGTTTTACGGATGAAGAAACAGAGGCTCGGGAGGGCTGAAGAAGTGGCTCAAGGTCACATGGCTGAGAAGTGGCGGAGCCAGGACTGAGGTCAGGTTCATCAGATCCCAAGGTGTCTGCTGGTTTCACTATGCCTCACCTCTTAGCATTATGGGAAACCATCAGGGCTCCCCTGCCAGAACACACCACACAAATTCTTCAAAACAAAACCTCATTCTGCTCCAGTGTTCAAATGGTAAGGTTCGGAGAGCTCATAATAAAATAAAAAACTCAGAAACAAACCCAAGCACAGAAGAACTTGATTTATGATAAAGGCTGCCACGGATCAATAGAGAGAAAAAAAAGTGATTCCTTAATAATGTTGAGAAAGCTGGCTCACTAAATGAATTTGGGTCCCTCCCATACACCATTTGTAAAGGTAGACTCCAAATGAATGAAAAACCTAAATGTGAAAAGAAAACTATAAAGCTAACAGGAGAAAGAAGGGCCTCTTTAATAAGAGTCCCAAAGTACAAACCAGAAAGCAAAAAGTCGATTGCTTCAATGACATCAAAATTAAGGGCTTCTGTCCAACAAAAGATACTATAGACAAAGTTAACAGAGAAGTGGCAGAGTGGAAAAAGACATTTGCAATGCCTAAACCCAACAAAGGATTAACATCTAGCTACCCAAGAAAGACCAATAAATGAACAGGAAAAAGAAAAAAAGAGGAAAAGCAACAGAAAAATGGTTTGTGACTATGAGTGGGCAGCTTTCACAAACGTGAAAACTAGAATGCTAGCATAGTCAACAGATATATGACTATGATTCTAAAAATCACTAGTAATGAGAGAAATGAAAATGAAACAACAATGAGGTTCCATGCTGTACTCAACATTGGAAAAATTAGAATGTTGAGTAATGCGGGATACTGTAGGAGACATGGGTAAATGGGAACCCTCACACTTACACCGCTGGTGGGAGTCTAGATTAGTGGAACCAATTCTAGAGACTTATCTGGAGATTATGGGAACCAAGGACGTACAAACCCTATGACCCAGCAAACCAATGCTGGGGGACAGAACCCAGAGAAAGACTTGCACAGGTCCATACGGGGTCAAGTGCAAGGATATTCATGACGGCACGGTTGTGGTAGTGCGGAACTGGAATCAACTAGTTGCCTATCACTAGAGAATGAATAAGTGCAAAATATGGGGGATACTTGTGACATGATAGTCCTTAGCACCATTCACCAATTATTTCCGACTTTCCTCCTTCTAGATTCATGATAGATTGCCGTCTCCGCCTCTTGTGGCGTTGGGAATGGCCATGTGATTTGTGTTGCTACTTCTGGACTCGTGTGCTGTTTGTTTGCCACAGAACCGATTATGAGCCAGTGAGTGGTTTGCCACTCTCTCCTCTCCCTGCCATGGTGGAGGCTCCATCAGCCAAAGTCCCTGACTGAGATGTGAAGCAAAGTGCCCAGGGACCTGACAGGTAGTATGGCCAATCAGTCAACCTTTTATTATTTTAAGCCATTAAGATTTTGGTGGTGTTACTACTACCTTGATCGCTACAACTATGCAGCTGTTAGAAGCAATAAACTAGATGTACAGCCAACAACACGGACAGATCTTAACACCATGGTGAGAACATGGGTGGAAATAGTAAGAACAGCATAGGCTCCCTGGCACAATATCACCGCTCTAAATACACAAAATAACATGCATGGCTTATAGACATATAACTGTTTGAGGGCATGTATTAAACACCTCAGATGGATGTGGAGAACACAGATGAAGAGAGAAAAATTAAGAGCTAAAACAAGAGAGCTTTACATTGATGATACCTGCATAAACGTATCAGTATGAATCATTCAACTCCCTCGTATATCTGAGATCCGAAAAGAAAAGGAAAAGGAAGTGTGTAAACAACTTGTCTTAGTTTACTTCAGATGCATTTTAAATCCTTCCTTTCTCCACAAAGTTTTCATCCACCCAGACAGGCTTCCGCCTCACAACCTCCATGGTTACCACACTCTTGGTACAAAGATGATAGCCGCGGCCGCTACTGCCAATATCCATTCCTCTGTGATCTGAGGGAAGAGAGCAGCAAGCAGCCTGTCTGGTCAGACAAGAACGGAACTGCACCAACTGGGGCAAACACCAAGCCGATGGGTGATGGGCAGTGTGGGGAGTAGTCCCAGCTCCCGATAGGATGTCAGCTGAGAACAAATGCAACGGCCCAGTGGGCGCGCCTGCCGGTCCTGCTCAGGCCTGCACCTGCAGGAGGTGATGCAAGGCTCTCAGGGGACCGCTCCTGGCAGCCGAGTTTACTGGGTTCCCGGAGGACACGGGGTTCAGGAGTGGGCTGGCTTGGAACTCACTCCCTAGCCACGTTCCAGCAATGACTATGCAGAAACGCTCTTGAGAGGCAAACACGGCTCGGCCCCAACAGCTCCTTGCCATCACTTTTTCTCCCTGGTGTAGTGCAAAGGGGCGGGGCTGAGACTCAGGCAGACCGGAGCTGAGTTCAGGGGGTGCCCCAGGGAGAGAAACTGTAAAGCTCTTTTGGGGCAGGGACCTCAGATTACTTGATTTAGTAGCTCTAGCTCCTCATCAAATGTTTATGGAGTGAATAAAGTAATGAACGAATCAGTTAACTGATTAACAAATTAATTTTTCTTCCAATGATCTCTATTTTATACCTCTTCTCTCCCCTTTGGCATTGAATTAATTCGGCGATTTGAGCTATTTGTCTCCAAGCCTAGCACGGTGTCAGGCACACAGCAGAAGCTTATGAATATTTGCTGAACTGGATTGTTTATGTGCTTCTTACTTATTCATTGTCTTTTAGAAACCACTAACTTAGATGAATACGTTTGTTTTATTTGCGGCACCCCCTCCAGAATGTAAATAATAGTAATTCCTTTCAATTACCAAACATGTGATACAAGGTTCTTTCATATTCATTATCGAGATGAATCCTTATATCATCAGCCCTCTCTTATTATGTCCTTTATATAGATAAGTAGGACAAAACTACAAGAGAGTAAGTAATCAACCCACAGTTTTCTGGACTGCAATGTGGAAGAACAATAGAATTAGAAAATCAGCATTTTGCCATCCTCACTATTACAATGACTCGGGTAAGGATCATCAACAGATGCTAAGATTTCTGGGGGAGAGATTGTGCAGGGAACAGGATATTCACATGCTCTCGCAGGATCACAGATTACTTACCAGCCACAAAGGGAAAATGTGTCTGGAACAGTGAGATCTTGTGGTCACTACCTTTTTAGCCAAGGGATTAAACTTAGCATCCGACCGTGGGACGGCCAGACTTGATGTGTCCCCAGTGGGGTGCGGTCACAAGCACACAGCAACACCTGTGGTATTCCTGCCGCACGTGTTTCATTTTACTACAACCCCGAGGAAACGCACAAACAAATCCAGAACGTGGGCCGTTCCACAAAGCACGCGGTCTGTTTTCTTTCAAAAACAGTCAGTCGTGAAGACATAAAAAGGCAGGGAGCTGCTCTAAATTAAAAGGGATATAGCAATCAACTGTAACACATCGGCGCCTAGATTTTTTTTTTCAAGTTATAAAAGTCATTCTTGGGGCATTTGAGGAAAATTAAATAAGTGCTGAATAGTAGATGGCATTATTGAATTAATATCCGTTTTCTGAGGCAGGATATTATTGTATTAATGTTAAATCTCTTGATTGTGATATAATGGCCTGGTAATTAAGTAGGAGAATGCCCTTGTTCTCAGGAAAGGCAGCGGAAGCATTTGGGGTGAAGACCGGGGTGAAGTGTCGTGATGTCTGAAAGTTACTTTTACATGGTTCAGCAAAATGAAAATGTGTGTGTGTGTGTGTGTGTGTGTGTGTGTGTGAGAGAGAGAGAGAGAGAGAGAGAGAGAGAGAGAAGAGGGCATGTGACAACAATGCTAACAGTTGGTGAATCACAGTGAAGAAAAAGAGTATATACTGTTTATCATACTATTCCTTCAAATTAAAAAAAAAAGTCCTGGCTGGTGTGGCTTGGTTGGTTGGAGCATCGTGCCATGAACTGAAAAGTCTCTGGTTTGATTCCCGGTCAGGGCACCGGCTACTTGATGTCTCTCTCTCACAAGGATTTTTTAAACATTAAAAAACAAGCGTTGGGAGAAAAACATAGGTGTTCTGATTTTAAGGCCACGAACTAACCAGGACACTGACCCACCCGTACAGGAGGTCTCTGGTGTCCCCTGGACTGCCATCAGCTAGCCTTCTCTAACTGGGAAGAATTATCAGTCGTTCAGAGAGAGAGGGTTGCTTTCCTTCTTGTTCATTAAAAACATCTTTTCTGTTGATAAGGATACCAATATATACTCAATATGGATTATAGAATGAAGTCTATTTTCCACCCCATTTCCATTTTAATAGTAAAACATATTTGCTAAACATCCCAATTAAAGGTTGGAGAAAAGGCCATACTTCACCGTGCAAGCTGCATTTTCACTAATTTGGTCTCTGGTTAAGGGTTTAAGAGAGATGCCAGCTGTCAGGCAAAAGTGCTGCCCTCCTCCCAGCCCTGTCCCCAGCAGGCATGACTAATCAATCACCGTGTACTTTCCCCCCAAGCCTGAACCTTTTCTGAGGCCTCCTGGTATTATGGTTTTCCTTTTTGTTTTTTTAAAGACATTAGGAGACGAGGAAAATGTTCACCCTTCTCTTTCTAGGAGACTCATTATATCCAAAGAGCTTATGTAAGATATTTTCTCTGAAAAATTGTTGTTTTCAAAATCCCCTGATTTCTTCTTAATTATTCATTCAACAATTATTTCTGGGTTGCACAGATGAATGGGAGCCAGAATTCCCCCAACCCCCAAGGCTTACCAATAGAAACTGACAAGGTGTTCAAGGCGGGGCACAAAGCAAGGAGTGGCCGGCTGGCTGGGAAGGGGAGGAACGGGCTTCCCAGAAGAGGTGGCTCATGCTCAGAAGCCTTCTGGGTGAGTTCGTGGAGCCCGAGAGGTGCTGGTGGCAGCAATGCCATCAGGGACGTGCGGTGTGCTGTCATGATGCCTTATCCCCACTCTGACTTCACCAAGTCCCATGGAAACCCCCAGGCACCTGAGCCGACTGTTGGTCCATCCCAGTATGAGGCAGTGTTGGCTGCCAACCTTGTGTTGTTGGTGGTGAAATTCCGTGAATGTGTCCTGTTCGTGAGTCAAGTCTGACTTTTCACCTTGTGGTGGGGCAGGTCACTGCAGCAGGTGGAATGGGCAGCTGTCTGCTGAGGTTTGTGCAGTGCCAAACTGGACTCACCCACGATCGTGAAACATGTCGCTCCCTAGTATCTGAAACTCCAACTCCCCATGAGAACAGCACGCTAGTGAGGAGAGGACACGATGGGACAGGGGGAGGGTGATGAAAACCCACATTTAATGAGCAGCTATTATGTACCCACATTGATAGGGGTTTACATCAGCCCATTTGACCATCAACAAGCTTGGGAGGCAGGGGAGAGGGGGAGAAATCCCAAATGGCTCTTCTACACTGGATCAGGATCAAAACCTAACAAAGTTATGAAGCAGGCAGACAGAGGGAAAAGGGTTTTTTTGGTGTTTACTCTGTGTATTAAGCACCTAGAAAACTGTAAAAGGTATTATTATACCCATTTTGCAGATGAGCAAGCTGAGGGTTCAGAATGGTTTGTTCATCATCATCATTACAACACAAACGGCAATGTGTATTTTTTTAAAAATATATTTTATTGATTTTTTTTACAGAGAGGAAAGGAGAAGGATAGAGAGTTAGAAACATTGATGAGAGAGAAACATCGATCAGCTGCCTCCTGCACACCCCCCACTGGGGATACGCCCGCAACCAAGGTACATGCCCTTGACCGGAATCAAACCTGGGACCCTTCAGTCCGCAGGCCGATGCTCTATCCACTGAGCCAAACAGGTTAGGGCGCAATGTGTATTAATGAACGCTTATTTTGTATCAGGTTCCACAAACTCTTTATATAAATTATCTTATTTCACTTTCACAGCAACCCTGCGATGTGGGCTTCATTATGACCATTGTAACTGTGAAGTCACTAAGTCTAAAAGTCTGTATGACTCTAAGCCCATGTTCTCAAACACAGCTAATGCTGCCTCCACAATGTGTGCCACCTACTAAGTGCCAGAGCACCAGAACCACCACTGTGGCAGTGAGAAAGATCCTCTACCTCCCAGGGGACTCTATTAGGGCCTCCTTGTGTGTGTGGATGTCATTCTTTAGACCAAATCTAAAAAGAAAGGGAAAACAGTCTCAATAAAAATGTAACTTTTATTTTTGAAGGACCAGGCTTCAGCAACAATAGTTCACAATTATTTCATGCTTGCTGTGTACCAGGCACGGTTCCAGGAAGCACAGTCTATATGGTGGTGGACAAAGCACTGCTCACCCAAACTCCTGGTTTTCCTCTGCCCTGGGCCCTTTCTGCCACCTTGAACTTGTACATGGCCGTGCAGTTTGCTTTGGCCAATGAGGTACAAGCAGAAGTGATTTGTATCACTGTCGGTGAAGCCTTTGAGGGCCAGTACATAATTCTCCATAATCTGTCTTTGCCACTGTAGCCAGCATGGAAACACATTGATAGGAAGAAGCTGGAAAATTGAAGGAGCCTGGAATATGTTGAGCTAAGGCATAGAGGGCCACTGCACTGAGAGTCAGTCAGATCTCCCAAGGACTTTGCACGGGTGAGAAATACACTTCAGTGCATCGACCTTCTGAGATTTGGGATTTGTCTGTTACTGCAGCATAACCTATTCTATTCTGACTAATAGTCATCAAATCCTTATAACAATTCCATGATGGGGGTACTGTTATTACCCCCATTTTACAGATTAGAAACTAAAGCACAGAGAGGCTAAGTAACTTGCTAAAGATCACACAGCTAGCAAAAGGTAGAGCCAACTGTGAACTTCAAGAATAAGACTCCAGCCCAGCCAGTTGTGGCTCAGTGGTTGACCAGGAGGTCATGGTTTGGTTCCTGGTCAGGACACATGCCTGGGTTGTGGGCTCATTCCCCAGTGGGGGTTGTGCAGGAGGCAGCCAATCAATGATTCTCTCTCATCATTGATGTTTTTATCTTTCCCTTCCTCTCTGAAATCAAACACACACACACACACACACACACACACACACACACACACACAAAACACATACTTAAAAATAAATAACACTCCAGAATCCATGCTCTCAATCAGTATCCTGTAATTCCTCACTAACATTTTTACCAGCCAAACAGACTAAAGAATAAACATCAAGATCTATAAATTTCTTTCTATACCTTAGCCAATGTTTAAAGAATAAAAGAATTATAGAATTATAAGAACATATAACTTAAAAAAAACACCCAAATTGCTTGCTTTATAAAAGAAAACAGCCTAGCTTCTGCTTGCAAGGCAATTAAAACTGAAAATGTGTGACAACAGAGGTGACTATTCTTTGGGGAATTGCCTGGAATGATGGAAAAACTCTTAAAGAAAAACTTTCTCTTAAAGTTTTTTTTCTCTACCCAATTCCTTGGAGTTTACCCTAAAGGGCGATAGACACAGTTAAAAGTATAATTAGTGGTCTCACCTTCCCCCAAAATTACATGTTTTCTTTCTAATTGAAAAAAACAATATTTCTTTAACAGATTCATTACTTTCTCCCTAAATCAAAGCAAATCTTTCATGAGTTGCTGAGATCCTTAAGATAAAATGAAATCATCAAAAACCTCACATCATGAACTCGAGTGTGTCTCTCTCAGTTCTTTTTTAAGCAAGGACACTTGTCAAGGTCCTCTCTGTTGAGAGCGGTCCATTATAACCACTGCTCATCATAATTTAGGACACGGGGTTAAATGGTTCTTTCAAATGCAATTAGTGAATTTCACGGGAACAGGACTGGTCAGAAGGTCTGCCCCAAGGCTGTGAGGGGCATGCCATTTCTACCAGGAGATGCTGACCAGCTGGCAGGGCTGGCTTTTAGCTGGCTCTTCCTCAAAGTTTAGGGGTTGTCAACCTTCAAAAGTCAGATGCTGCTGATGGTGGTCAGTGTGCATCATAGCTACTGGCCCGTTGTCAGGTCGTAATGGTCGCCTAGGCTTTTATATATATATATATAAAGAGAGAGAGAGAGAGAGAGAGAGAGAGAGAGAGAGAGTCCTGGTGCACGAAATTCGTGCACTGGGGGGTGTCCCTCAGCCCAGCCTGCACCCTCTCCAATCTGGGACCCCTTAGGGGATGTCCAACTGCTGGTTTAGGCCCTCACACAATCTGGGACTGCTGGCTCCCAACCACTCGCCTGCCTGCCTGATTGCCCCTAAATGCTTCTGCCTGCCAGCCTGATCATCTCTAACCACTCTCCTGCCAGCCTGATTGACACCTAACTGCTCCCCTGCCAGCCCGATCACCTCCAATCGCCCTTCTCTGCCGGCCCGGTCACTCTCAAGTGCCCTCCCCTGCAGGCCTGGACCCTCACAACTGCCCTCCCCTGCTGGCCTGGTTGCCCCTAACTGCCCTCCCCTGCTGGCCATCCTGTGGCTGCAGGCACCGCCATCTTTGAGGGCATGGCAGTCAATTAGCATATTCCCTCCTTATTGGCTGTGGGTGCCACCATCTTTGAGGGTGGGTGGTCAATTAGCATATTCCCTCCTTATTGGCTGTGGGTGCTGCCATCTTTTGCAACGGCATGAGGGTCAATTAGCATATTCCCTCTTTATTAGATAGGATTCTCGAATCCTCTGTTTCCTCATCAACAAGATAGGAATGGCCAGAATTTCATTGTTAGACGAATCAAAGGAAGAGATGGTGACAAAAAGCCTAGCATAGTGCTCAATACAAATTAACTCTCATTTTTATCATTATCACTAGAGAACACTTATCCTCGCCTGTTGTTTCCTGCCACGGGAAGGGACATCCATTTGCATAACACTCCTGGTTTTTCTTTCTCTCACATTCCAGGGGAGGTGGAATGACTCACCGAGTTAGTGAGTTGAGGAGGAGGAGCTGGATGGGCATAGCTCAGCCTGGCACTAATCTTTCTCCCTGGAAGCCAGCTGCCTAGAGAAGCAAGCATTCTGATGAACTCCCACAATGCCTTTGTTTTCCAGGATGAGGTCCTGTGTTCTCCAGCACCACCCACGAGTAGGTACTCACACCTGATCACTTGTAGGGTCCAGTATTAGGAAGCCAATGGTCACTGTACTTCTAAGCCATGTCCTCCAAACTAGTCTTCATTAGTAATGAGAGGGATGTTTTAATCTCTATCTGCCTGACATATCCTGTGTCTGGCTCAGCTGCATTAGAACCAGTGGAGAGAAAAGAGGTGCTATTTACCGGATTGCCTCCAGCCTCAATGATTGCCACTGCAATCTCTTGGCAGGTACTCAAGGCCTTTTATGAGCTGGGTGGTCGAACCCAACAATCCCAAGGTTAGGAATTTACCCTTAGGATATATTCACTCGCATGTGAAAAGTTATATTACAGGGTGATTCACCACAGAGCTGTTTATAGAATCAAAAAAATGGGAAACAACCTAAATGTCCATTATTAGGGAATTGACTATAAGATAGAACATTATTTATTCATTTTAAATGATGCTGTCAGAGTATGTAATGACATTTAAACATGTCCATAATCTGATAAGTGAAATAAGTAAGTGCAAACAATATGTACAATATGATTCTACTTTGTAAGGAAAACATGGAACACATAGAAGCGTTTGCAAAAGATATACAAATTGTTAACACTTAATGCTAGCTCTAGATGGTGGGATGGTGGGTCACTGAAATTTTCTCTTGTTGCTTATGTAAATGCTCTAATTTCCCCTCGATGTACATTACTTCCTTTATTTTTTTTCTAAATATATTCTTTTTATTGATCTTTAGAAAAGGGGAATGGAGGTGGAGAGAAAGAGAGAAAGATCAATGCAAGAGAGAAACATCAATGGGCCACTTCCTGCCAAGACCGGGAATCGAATTGGCGACCTGTCAGTCAGTGCACAAGACGACGCCCAACCAATTGAGTCACACTGGCCAGGGCTATACCTCCTTTCATTTTTCACAGAGCTAGGTGCACAGTGGCTGATGGGGAGAACGTCTCTGGGGAGTCCAACCTCTGCTTTGTGCCTTCGGAGGGGCCTGGCCCGCTTTGGGAACTGAGCCATCAGGTGAGCGTGACTGTGCTCAGTCTAGAGTCGTCCTGGCCTGCAGTTGAGAGTCTGGTTGTTCTGGGTGTGTACTGGAAGAAGTTGGGGCAGGGTTCTTTCTGTGGGAGCTGGGAGCCCTTGTGGGACAGTCAGTCCTGGCCAGGTCAGGTGGGTGGTGACCAAGTAAGGAGCTTGGAACAGCCTGGAAACAACTGTCAGGAAGTGGTCACCTGGGACACTGGGGCCTTCACTGCCAATGGTTAAAGTCCCAAATGCTTAGCATGGCATTCAAGACCTCTGTGGACGGCCCTCACACTTATCATTTACAGACAAATGAAACTCTTACCACTCCTCAAATGGGGCACACCCTGGTCCCTCAAAGCCCCTGATGAGGTGTTTCTTCTCCTCACCCTCCTCCAACCACCTCCCATCTTTCTGATGTACTCCTGCACCACCAACATCCCCTACACCTACATGTACCACCAATGTCCCCTACACCTACCTGTACCACCAATGTCCCCTACACCTACCTGTACCACCAACATCCCTACAGCTACCTGCACCACTACCGCCCCCCCCCCCATCTATCCAGCAGCAGTGTTCTCTGGGTGCCACAAATCTCTAAGCTTACAAGCACAATTTGAAAGGGAGCAGGTGCCTAGAAGTCCAGAGGGCACACAGCAACCCACATGTATCTAATTAGCAGTCACTGTCCCTTTCTAGTCCGCAGGCTTCTTTGACCAATTTGAGGACAGGACCAGATGTCCTCAGGCTCTCGAAGGCCCTACAGGCTCTGACAGTCAATGATCCATCCCCCAGGCATTGGCCATGCATCCTGCCTTCTCCCTTCTGTCCCTCACAGTCACCTGACCTCAGCTTGAGCACAGGCACAGCATCGACATTTTTTTATCAGTCTGAATGTCAACTCCCAGACACCAAGATGATTTCATTTCTTGAGGTCAGGAGGTCAAGTCAACCATGTCTGCCCCTCTGTCTTGAACACACAGCAGAGGGAACAGCAGGCCCAGCAGGGTCAGGAGTAACCCAGATGTTCAATAGCAGTGGCACTCACATTTAGAGGGCACCAGAATCCCCCAGGAGGGTTTATTTAAACAGAGATGGGGACCCCATCCTTAGACTGTCTGATTCCACAGATCTTGGGTGGTTCGAAGACCCACCCAAGAGAACTGTTATTTGGGATTGAGTCCCAAAAGCCTTCCAAGGTCTGGCTCTCGCCCCCTATTACTTGCCTGAACTCATCTCCTACACTTCTGCTTACTCAACCCACTCCCGATAGGCCAGGCACATTCCTACCTCAGGGCCTTAGCATGTAATATCCCCACTGTAGAAGGCCCATCCCCAGTTATCTATAGCTCTTTCCCTAACCTTTTGAAGGTCTTCACTAAGATGTCACTCTCTCATTGAGGCTTCCCCCTGCTCCCATAACTAAAATCACAATCGCCCACCATTTACTGTCCCCATTCACTGCTTTATTTTTCTCTCTAGCACTTATCCCCACATATTATATACAGGGTGGGGCAAAAGTAGGTTTACAGTTGCGAGCACACAAAACACAATTTTTGTATTATTCTTCATTAATGATTGTATTATTTTTCATACAAACAACTGTAAACCTACTTTTGCTTCACTCTGCATTTTATAGTATTAATTTTATTTATGTCTGTCTCCCCCTCTAGAATGTGGGCTCCAATGAAGGCAGGGGTTTTGTTTTGTTTACTGCTGTATCCCAGAATGGCATCTGGTATATTGTAGGTCATCTAACATTTGTGGAAGGAAGAGAGAGAAGGACAGAGGGAGAGAGGAAAGGGAGGGAAAGAGGGGGAAAGGAGGGAGGGAAGGAGAATGGGAAGGGAGCAAACAAGCAAAGAAGGAAGGAAGGAATTTCACAGACACATAATATTCTTTTAATAGTTATAGGAGATCAACAACGTGGGTACTGACTGTTATTTTGCCAAATAAAGGCTATAAAGTCCAGAAATGTCAATTACCATCTCCTATCCCATCAGGACCCCACAGGGTGGACTGGAGGCTGCCAAGCACTTGGTAGCCTGAGTGAATGGTGCCCCTGGCGTTGGACGAATGCATCTGCACGGCGCCATAGCACGCTGAGCACCCTCACGCCCTGATCTAATGACAGAAAGGGCATTTTTAGCCCCAGTGCCTTTCACAGGACAGAGCAGGGGCTGTAGATTTGCCTTCAAATCCCAACTCTGAATGCCTGGGGCACTGAAGGATGCTGGGGCCACTTCCAGGCCACCCACCGTGGAGCATTTGGTGGGAATGCAAGCACACACCTGCCTACATTTGCCAAACTTGAAAAAGATGCCCATAAATGTTGGTTGAATTCATGAATGACATTTGCCTGCGGATGTGCCTGAAATATGCTGGCTGCCTGAGGGCATGAGTACAGTGGCATCTCAAGGCAATGCCCAATGCCCATGCGACTCCCCGAGCTGTAATTCAGCAAGATTCCTCAGGGTTCGCTGAGCTCCTGGGGGCGGGAACTTATCTTTGTATTCTCAGGGTCGAGTTCAGATGCCCCCCTATGGCTGAGCTTCAGTAAACATTTGTTGAGCTGAGTTTTTCCTTGTACGCTCAGAAAGTCTGGCTTTAGTGCCTAGGCCTGGAGGATCTGATTCTGAAGTATGAGAGGATTCAGGGGCATTGAGCCCAGTGCTTGGCACGTAGTAGGTCCTCAATAAATGTTGACTGATTGGTTCACAGACAGATCTGTGGACTCATCCAAATACTAACTGCAGCTCTGGGGTCTCGGCTGCTGCGGAGCCTGTTGCTGCTACGTTTTCCTCCGGAGGAATGATGCACAGTCTGTCTGGAGTGTGTCAGACTCTGGGGAGAGAGCAGGAGGAGGGAGGACAGCAGCAAGTAGCACCCTGGGTGGGAGCTCGTTTGGCTAGAGAAACAACCAGATGCAGGCCGATTCTTCCATATTGGAGATAAAAGTGGCCGGAGGGAGTGTACTTAAGATGACAGCGTCCACAGCCCCCAAAGCCAAGAGCTTGCGAGGGCCGAAGGACTTCACACGGCGGCTTCTCAGCACTCCTGTCCGCCTGCTGCTGAGGCCCCGCTCCCCGCCAGCCTCCCCGTCGCATCAACATCACGGGAAGAGGCTTTCCTTCTAGTTTTCTTTGTGAGGAAGGGGGAAACGCCACTCATTCTTCCCCTTCCCCTTGATCATTGCATTCATTCTGTCATCGACTCACTAATCATGGAGCATGTACCTCTAATGAGTCTGTCACAGTACATGATGCTGAGGATGCCGAGATGAAATCCCAGGCACGGCCCACTTGTAACTCCCCATCGAGGCAGGGAGCCAGACCTGTGAGCAAATCGCTGCGCAGCACCCACTGCCTCCCTCGAAGCCTGGTCCACGTGTCACGGGCGGACAGGGGCTGGTTTGAGGCGATAGGTAGATGAACATTTTTATTTTGAGTTGTGTGTTTATTTCGATGTATATTACACCAAAAAATACAGCCAGGACAGAAACCCTCTGTGCCACAACTGTTTGTGCGCTGGACATGGTCTTGATGAACAAAATGTGGGAAGGTGATGATAACGACAGTGTTAGGTACATAAAGGCCAGGTGGTGGAAGGAACTCGGGAACGCAGTGTGAAAATGACTGAGGTCTGAGGTGCTGGCGGGGGATGAAAGCACAGGTGAGGATTCAAGTCGCAGCCCTGCTTGCTCACTAGTCGGGTGGCTCTGAATGAATTATTTTCCCCCCTAAGACCTTGATTCCTTCCCGTTGAAAGTGATTATGCCTACCTCGTGGCTTCTGATGGTAGTTGCAAATTCATTACCATTTTATCATTACATCATATTCTCCCTGGGCCTGTGCTGGAGAGTTGGAAAACTGTTGTGCTTGGGCGGGTAGAGGACAGAGGAGAGGTGGCAAGTGTTCAAAGCCCTGAGCTGGAAGTCAGCCATGGAAACAGATAAGGAATGAGAAAATGGCTTTGATTATGAGCCCAATTTGCCCTGGGGGCTCCCTGGTGAGAAGGGAAACAGGCGGACAGCAGAGGCCCAGGCTCTCAAGCAGCAGCTGCCCTGGTGGCTCAGGCCCCACCTGTCTCACTGGACTGCTGCCCACATCGGAGGCCTCTTGCCATGAATGGCTCATCAGAGACAACACCCAGAAATCCTCATCCTGCTGGGTCTCTCCTCCCCAGTGTCTGCAGCTCTCTGACCTCAGACTCAGCTCTGCAGCTCAGAGGGACCTGCCGGAAGAACAGGCGGGGTCTCCTACAAGGCTGGCAGCCTAGGGAGACTTGACAAAGGCCTCCCACACGATAGAAGCCCCTGGCAATGGAAGAAACTTAGCCATTGAGTCACCTGGGCAAAGGGGTCTCTCAAGCTTTACTGCATGGAAGAGCAGGGGCTCCTAGGGTGGGACAGCCATCATCCACGATAACTCAATGCAGCCACAATGGGCAACACGAGGACGTGGGTGAATTGCAAGTATGTTATGTAGGTGCAAGAAGGCAGAGTCAAAAGGCTACAAAATGTCTGATCACAGCTATCACATTCCAGAAAAGGCAAAACGATAGGGCCAAAGAATAAAGCAGTGATTGTCATGGGTTAATGGTATTTATGTAGGAGATATCACTTCATACCCACCAGGAGGGCTGTAATAAAAAATATAGATACTGCCTAACCAGTGGCTCAGTGGTTGAGTGTCCACCATGAACCAGGAGGTCACGGTTCGATTCCCAGTCAGGGCACATGCCTGGGTGGTGGGCTCGATCTCCAATAGGGGGCATGCAGGAGGCAGCCGATCAAGGATTAAGGATTCTCTCTCATCATTGATGTTTCTATCTCTCCCTCCCTCTTCCTCTCTAAAAGCATATTCTAAAATTACAGATACTAACAAGTGTTGTCAAGGATGTGGAGAGATTGGAGCCCTCGGACACTGATGGCGGGATTGTGGGATGTGCAGCTTTGGAAAACTGTCTGGCAGTTTCTCAAAAGGTTATACACAGAATTACCATATGGCGGGATTGTGGGATGTGCAGCTTTGGAAAACTGTCTGGCAGTTTCTCAAAAGGTTATACACAGAATTACCATATGAGCCAAAAAAAGGAAACAACCTCATTGTCCATCAACTGACAAATGGATAGACAAAATGTGGTATATCTGTATTAGCCAAAAAAAGGAAACAACCTCATTGTCCATCAACTGACAAATGGATAGACAAAATGTGGTATATCCGAGCAATGGAATATTACTTGGTAAGAAAAAGGAATGAAGTATTGATACGTGCTACGACATGGATA